ACTTTAAAATCATTTTTTTTTACAACGTAGACATGAATTACTTAAATAAACATAAATTTGTCTAAAACAACAATTTTTTTAAAAAGACCAATATTATCTATTAGTTAATTAAAATTGTTTTAAAATCAATAAGTAAATTTTTTAAGTTTTTTAAAGAATGTACATATGATATAAACATTTTAAGATTAAAAAATGCTGGAAATGTTTATAAATGCAAAAGAAAATAGATTATTGGTTATATAATTATTAGTAACAATGATAATTGTTAACTTTCAAATCATTTTTTTACAAAATAGACATACATTACTTAAATAAACATAAATTTGTCTACAAAAAAAACAATTTTTTAAAAAAAGACCAAAGTTATCTATTTGTTAATTTAAATTGTTTTTTTAACAATTTAAATAAACTGTATTATGCATTATTATTTGTCAGGTGGTCAGACTAGACTAATTTAAATTGATTTCGATCTTGTGCAATGGAAAAATAAAAAATAAACAGTATTTTATACAAAAATATTTTAAATTGTTAACTTTGAGTAACAAAAAAATAAATAAACAATTAAAAATTCAAAAATCGGTTTAAAGATATCTCTTAGAAATTTTATCCTCTTTCATTTAAGACCAAGAACATCAAAATCCAATAAAATTTGTAGGCTCTAGACAATTTAACTAGACTATTTAACCCCCATACGGTTTTACCCGAGCATGCTCGGGGTGTATCTTTCGTTTATTTATTTAAAAAAATTTAATTCGAGAGTCATATAAATAAAACACTCAGTGTAATTTAAAGCTATACATAGTTGCGTACCCTTTAACGCCCAAATGGACAAAATTTTGGCATGAAGTTTGAGGACTTATTTCGGTACTTAAAAATCAATAGAAAAATTCACGAATCATCATTTCTTATGTTTTCATATGCACTCTATCGAATGGCGTTAAAAAAAAGTCAAAAATTTATAAACAAAAAAGTTATTAATGTTTTTTATAAAAAAAGTCCGATTTTTTTCCAATTTTTGTTTAATTTTTAATTTTTTCTACTATGAAATAGCGAAAAAATAATTCCAAATGTTACAAATAACGTGACATAGATATATAACCTAGAAGATAGGACTATAGAGAAAATTAAAAATTAAAATGGCGGCTCAAAAATGGAGTTTGAAGTTCAAATTTTTTTCAAAATTTGATTCGAAAGTACGAAATTGTTAAAAGTGTTTAGATCAGCTTGAAATTTGTTACTCGGGGGTTTTAGGGGTCGCTGATCACGAATCAGAAGTCCAATTTTCAAAATTCAAAATGGCGGATCCAATATGGCGGCTAATTTTTTTTAAAAACTAATTAAATTTGCTTGAAACTTGTTACTCGGGGGTTTTTGGGGTTGCTAATTATGAATATGAAATCCAATTTTTAAAATTCAAAATGGCGGATCTAATATGGCTGACAGATTTTTCAAAAATTTATTAGGTTAGCTTGAAATTTGTTTTTCGGGGGTTTTAGGGATCGCTGATCACGAATCAGAAGTCCAATTTTCAAAATTCAAAATGGCGGATCCAATATGGCGGACAATTTTTGTAAAAACTCATTAAATTTGCTTGAAACTTGTTACTCGGGCGTTTTTGGGGTCGCTTATTACGAATATAATATCCATTTTTTAAAATTTTAAATGGCGGATCTAATTTGGCCGACAAATTTTTAAAAACTCATTATATTAGCTTAAAATGTGTTACTTGGGGATTTTAGGGGTCGCTGATCACGAATCTGGAGTCCAATTTTCAAAATTTGAAGTGGCGGATCCAATATGGCTGACAATTTTTCTAAAAAATCATTAGATTCGCTTCAAACTTGTTACTCGAGGGTTTTTGGGGTCGCTGATTACGATTATAATGTCCAATTTTCAAAATTAAACATGGCCGCTTCAATATGACAGACAAATTTTTAGTTGAAATTTGATAATCACAATCTTTAGCCATTAAAATATTAAAAATATTTTTAATGTTTTCCAACTTTCACCGCGTAGAGGTAAACGTGAACTGATAAGTCTTTTTTTAAATTATTTTTTTTTTCGATTTAATATAGGTATTGATAAGTAAATTTAATCGAATTAAAACTATGAAAAATGATTTTTGAAAGGTTTTACAAGAGCTTCAAGCTGGAGATAAAAAAATTGTTTTTTTCAATTTGACCCTGAAATAAGTAATGATTAAAATAAAACATGCATTTCTATTTTTTTACCTTTAAATTCAAAAATTATAATAACAAATAAAAAGAAGAAAAATACATAAAAAAATAAAACAGTAAAAAAAATATATAAAATTTAAAAATAACAAAAAAGATTTTCCAGTTCACGTTTACCTCCACGTGGTGAAAGTTGGAAAACATTAAAAATATTTTAAGTATTTCAATGGCTAAAGAACGTGATTATCAAATTTCAACTGAAAATTTGTCGGCCATATTGGATCCCCATTTTAAATTTTAAAAATTGGATATTATATTCGTAATAAGCGACCCCAAAAACCCCCGAGTAACAAGTTTCAAGCAAATTTAATGAGTTTTTACAAAAATCGTCCGCCATATTGGATCCGCCATTTTAAATTTTGAAAATTGGACTTCTGATTCGTGATCATCGACCCCTAAAACCCCAGAGTAACAAATTTCAAGCTAATCTAATGAATTTTTGAAAAATTTGTCGGTCATATTAGATCCGCCATTTTGAATTTTAAAAATTGGATTTCATATTCATAATCAGCGACCTCAAAAACCCCCGAGTAACAAGTTTCAAGCAAATTTAATTAGTTTTTAAAAAAATCGTCCGCCATATTGGATCCGCCATTTTAAATTTTGAAAATTGGACTTCTGATTCGTGATCATCGACCCCTAAAACCCCAGAGTAACAAATTTCAAGCTAATCTAATGAATTTTTGAAAAATTTGTCGGTCATATTAGATCCGCCATTTTGAATTTTAAAAATTGGACTTCTGATTCGTGATCAGCGACCCCTAAAACCCCCAAGTAACAAATTTCAAGCTGATCTAAACACTTTTAACAATTTCGTACTTTCGAATCAAATTTTGAAAAAAATTTGAACTTCAAACTCCATTTTTGAGCCGCTATTTTAATTTTTAATTTTCTCTATAGTCCTATCTTCTAGGTTATATATCTATGTCACGTTATTTGTAACATTTGGAATTATTTTTTCGCTATTTCATAGTAGAAAAAATTAAAAATTAAACAAAAATTGGAAAAAAATCGGACTTTTTTTATAAAAAACATTAATAACTTTTTTGTTTATAAATTTTTGACTTTTTTTTAACGCCATTCGATAGAGTGCATATAAAAACATAAGAAATGATGATTCGTGAATTTTTCTATTGTTTTTTAAGTACCGAAATAAGTCCTCAAACTTCATGCCAAAATTTTGTCCATTTGGGCGTTAAAGGGTTAAAGTCAAATTAAATATGAATTAGTCAAAATTAATTTTAAAACAATTATAAATTTATTTCCTACAAAGTTTAAAAATAATTAAACTGTAGGAGGATTAACATCTAAGAAATTAAATCATAACATCTAGATAATATTTATTAGTATCTTTTCTTAATATCTAGTATACTCAAATTTTTAATATAGGGGAGAGGGCCCCAAGGTGGTCAGGGCCCTAAGGTGGTCACCCTAAGAAAATTTTTGTATATTAGTTAGTATCTTCAAATGAGCGGATGGGAAGAAGAACTCGATGTGACGCTCCGCTGCACGCTGTATTGTCAGTCAAGAGTTCCAAATGCCAATAAAATTAAAGTTTGAAATTTTGAATTTTAAAAAGTGCTACATTATAGAAAATAAAGAGGCGCATCTTTTTTTCCTTTGAATTTTTTTTATAGGACAATTAGTTTAAATAGTAAGTGCAAAAAACTAAAAAAATTTTATTTTCATTTTGCATTCAATTTTAAAACATAAATCATCGTAGTTAAGACAAATATTGATAAAATTAATCGGTATTTGATATACAAACTCGTTAGGGTCTATAGAAGACGATAACATATCAAAAAACTTAAAAATTATTAATTGTTTAATAATATTTAATTATTATTAATGATCTACCAGCAATCACATTTTCTTACCTTCGCCGACAAAAAGTCAGTGGGGAAGTTTCGAATTAACAGAACTTCCAGTAAGACATTTGTTCTTCAATGTATAAAGATGTTTTCTTAAAAATTTCAAATTGATTTATTGAAAAGTTTAGAAAATATCGAAGTTTAAACAAATTGCGCGTGGCGCGCTAGCGAGTCGCCGTGTATAGAGAATTATATTCTGTGTATAAATGATCTGCTTCTCATAACTTTTACATATACATTTATTTACTATCGCAAATAAATTGTTTTCAATTTATTTATATTGATAAATTAAAATTGATTTAATGTTTAAATTAATAAATTTTTACTAAATGAATAGAATAAAATATTAGTAGTTTTTGTTTGTTTGACCGTATTATATATTTTGTAGGATAATGAAAAGGCACCTTCAAATAAGGTGGACGATATATTATGTAGATTCAATTCTATCGATAAACATTTAAAATTTACTTTAGAGTTATCTAACAATAATAAAATTAACTTTCTAGATCTTTCCCTTTCAATTGACAGTAATAATTTTATTGAAACAAATTGGTTTCGTAAATCTATATGGACGGGCAGATATATGAATTTCTATTCACACCACCCTCTAAGTTATAAAATAGGTATTATATACACTCTAGTTGATAGGGCTATTAAATTGTCAGATCAACAATTTCATCTTGAAAATCTTAACATTGTTAAAAAAACATTGCTACTTAATGGATACCCAATAGATCTGTTAAATAGAAAGATTTCACAGAGGTATAATGCTCTTACCAATAACTTACATAGAAAAATAAATAACAACAATTTTCCAATTGAAAAAATTATAAGTATACCTTATATTCAAAATTTTGATGAAATATTTTTTAATATATTTAAACAACACAAATTTAAATTAGTTTTCACTAACTCTAATAATTTAAAAAACTGTATTTTTCCAAAATTTAAAGATCCAACAGAGAAATTTCAGAGAGTTGGATGTGTATATAAAATTCAATGCAAAGATTGTGATAGTTGTTATATCGGAGAAACCTTAAGACATCTTAAAACTAGAATAAAAGAACATAAACGATATGTCACTCACAACCAAAATATTAATGCTTTAACTAATCATACTTTTGATAATAAACATTCTTTTGATTTTGACAATACAAATATTTTACAAATTGAAATAAATAACTGGAAAAGAAAAAATTTGGAAATGTTCTATATAAAAAATAATACTAATAGTATTAATTATAGAACAGATATTGACAATCTAGATAAAATATACTATAATTTAATTACTTATTTTAAAACATAATTTAAAAAGTTTAATAACATAGAAATCTACTTTACCTATCATACCTGGACCCTAATACACAACCTAACCTCTCTGTCATAACTCTCTGTTCATAGAAGCACATTTTTTGCAAAAAATGTGTTTCTACAAAATTTATAAAATTAATTAAATTGTTTAATATAAAATGTTTTTTTTTAAAAAAATTTTTTTTTTACAATAAAAAAATTTTTTTCCTTTTCTATACTTGTAATGTTCTTCTAAAGGGTAAGAAACTTTTTCATTTTTTTTCACAAATTAAAACATAACCTCATAAAATCTTTTTAAATTAAAATTAAAACAATTTTAATTATTTTTTTCAGATATTTTAATCCTTTTTGAAATCTTTTTATGATGTGTCCAATATTTGGATAATTTTCTGTAAAATTGTTCATCCCCTGATGAGGAACCATATGGTTCGAAACTAGTCGGGATTATAAAATAAACATCATATAAAATAACCGTATCTAGGCCTTTTCATTATCCTACAAAAAAAGAATAAAATATTATTTATATTACCTATATGAATAAATATTTTTCTTATTAATTTGTTATTTAAAAATATTTTTATGTATAAAATTTTCAAATATCTATAATAATAATGTGGACAAGAAAATATTTTCAAACTTTCCATTTTCAATATTTAAATTTCTTATTTACAAATTATTATTGATAGTTCGTAATTATTTCGTTATTTACGTTACAAATTATTGTTAAAAATTTTTACGCTTTAAGAATGTGAAATATTACCTTTAAGGTTATTGTTAAAATATGTCATTAGAACGAAAAAGGAAATATTTATGATGCGTCAAAAGAAAAGTGGAAAAATTTAATTAATGTATATCTAGTATTTCATTATATATGTTATTAAAATGCCTTAACATTAGTTTGAGTTATTTATTAACATTTATTAGTATTTAAAAAATATTTTATTTATTTTTATTTTCACATATTAAAATGTGTTTAATTATAATAATTTAATATAAGGTTTCAATATTATATATTACATTTAAAAAATGTTTAAATAATTTTATTATTTATTATTATAAAAGTTCAATATAATTGAAAACAATTTATTTGCGATAGTAAATAAATGTATATGTAAAAGTTATGAGAAGCAGATCATTTATACACAGAATATAATTCTCTATACACGGCGACTCGCTAGCGCGCCACGCGCAATTTGTTTAAACTTCGATATTTTCTAAACTTTTCAATAAATCAATTTGAAATTTTTAAGAAAACATCTTTATACATTGAAGAACAAATGTCTCACTGGAAGATCTTTTAATTCGAAACTTCCCCACTGACTTTTTGTCGGCGAAGGTAAGAAAATGTGATTGCTGGTAGATCATTAATAATAATTAAATATCATTAAACAATTAATAATTTTTAAGTTTTTTGATATGTTATCGTCTTCTATAGACCCTAACGAGTTTGTATATCAAATACCGATTAATTTTATCGATATTTGTCTTAACTACGATGATTTATGTTTTAAAATTGAATGCAAAATAAAAATAAATTTTTTTTAGTTTTTTTCACTTACTATTTAAACTAATTGTCCTATAAAAGAAATTCAAAGGAAAAAAAGATGCGCCTCTTTATTTTCTATAATGTAGCACTTTTTAAAATTTAAAATTTCAAACTTTAATTTTATCGGCATTTGGAACTCTTGACTGACAATACAGCGTGCAGCGGAGCGTCACATCGAGTTCTTCTTCCCATCCGCTCAAATGTTTTTTGTTATTGTTATTATTTGAGAAGACAAAGATTTTAGTAAAGTTTTGAGGTAAATAGTCGTATGAGTCTCTTTGTAACGTGAACGTCGTAAAATTTCTGTTTTTAAATGATCGAGAAATTTTTTTCTCAGGGTGTTAAAATCATCGAAATTAACCATTTTAAATTAGTAAAAATCGTTAAAATTATCTTTATATATCGTACAATAATATTTCAAATAAATATAATTAATATTGTGCTTTAAACATTTTTTTTATTAACGTTTAAAAAATTGTGTCTTGGCCATAAGGTGGACACTTTTTTGGCCACAAGGTGGTCACTTTTGATTTTTTATAAAAATGTTTTTATACGCTATATTTATCAACATTTATCACTGTGAATGTGAATTTTATCAATTTTTAAGTTTTATGATGAATAATAATGAAATAGAATTATTTTCAAAATTTTACCTGTCTAATACATACACAAAAAGTATCATTTTTGACGAAAGGACAAAGTGCAAAAAAAATATGTAATATGTTTCTGTGATCCTGAAAAACAATTAATATTAAATAAACAACCTAATAATACGTTTTTACATTTTTTTAAAACTTTTTTAGTGAATTTTTGTATGGTGACCACCTTAGGGCCCTCTCCCCTACATTTTTCTCCATGTTTGTGCTGCATTTGTGATAAGGGGACTTTTTCTGGTTTAAGATTGACAAAAAACATTTTTTAAAACTTTTATTGTGAAAAAAATATAACCGTTTTTGCCAAAATGCTTTTTGGACCTTGCTTTACATTTCGTGGAAAGAATTTTAAAAACTTTTTGAAGCAAATTTAGTTACGTATCGCAGCTGTGGGTAGCGTCTTCCTAAAGGTACCTTTTCTCGAAATCTACCGAACCGATTTCAAAAAACCGATTCGATTCCTTATCTAAAATGTTAGGTAATAAACCTTTAAGATTTCTCATTTGTACTCTCCGTTTTTAATGTGGGATCCGGAATCCGGAATCCGGAATGCGGAATGTGAAATCCGAAATGTGTGATGTGAAATGTGGAATATGAAATGTGGAATCCGGAATGTGAAATGTGGAATTCGGAATGTGAAATACGGAATACGGAATGTGGAATCCGGAATGTGGGATCCGGAATGTGGAAACCGAAATTTGGAATGTGAAATCCGGAATGTGGAATCCGAAATTTGGAATGTGGAATCCGGAATATGGGATCCAGAATAAGTAACGTAATCGACCCCCTGAACTGCTTTAGAGGAAGCCAAAAAGGCTCTTTCGAGAAAGCAGTGGAAGTAAAGGCCAGAATTCTGAAGCCGGAAGGTAGTACCATAGTTTGGAAACAGGAGTTTCTCTGGACAAGCGCCAAAACCGTTTTTCTACGGTTTTGAAGAAATATAAGGGGCAAAATTTCTCAAGTGTACCAATGTCAAAATTGCAAGTTGTTGTATCGGGCTAATATTTTCACAGTATTTAGTACTATGTATGAGTACTTCAACCACCAAGTATTATGAAATTTTATAACAAATTGTAGAGGGGGGAGGGGGTTGAAGATTTTGGATAAGTATGAACAGTGAGTTTTCTAAAAAATCGTAGCTTCTATATAATAAAGCAAAAAAAATTTTGACCTATATGTTTTTGGTAGGTTTTTTCACGCTCTTTCAAATGGTAAAAATTTTTTTTTTAAATTTTCAAAATTTAACCCTTTTTTTTGAAAATTAAAATTTTTTTTGGTTTTTTTTTCAAGAAGGACCCTTTTTTTTCTTTTTTTTGTACCAAAAGAAAGCTTAAGATGTTTACTTTCAATAACTAAAACGAAAAAATGACGTTTTTTTTTGTTTTCGAATTATTAATTAATTAATTATTAAAAATTAATAAAAATTGAAATATTTTGCAACAAAATAAAGTTAACGCAATTCTGAAGTTACTACTGTAAAGCACTACAAAATCCGCATCCAACGAGTCCAATATGAAATATTTTGGATAAATTGACGTTTTTTAAATAAATATTTATAAAAATTAATTAACAAATGAATATCATTTATAAAAATAAAGATAAAGTGTTAGTTTTTTTTTACACAAATGTTTATACAATTCTACTTTTAAAAAAATGTATTCCAGTTATTTGCAACAATTGTTTAAATAAAATATTCATCACCTTATGCGTGTGTTGCGCTGCATAACTATCTTCCCGGCTTAATATTATTTCACATTTTTTATAGAATATTTTTTTATTTTTTACATTTTTGATGTAAGAAAAGATTATTTCTTTTTTATATCAATAATTTTTTATTATTTTAATATTATTTATTATTACTAAATTATTTTGTAATTAATTTATTAGGAATTACGTATAAATTTCTTGTTGATATTAAAATAATAAAAAATTATTAATGTAAAAAAGAAACCATCTTTTCTTACATTAAAAATGTAAAAAATAAAAAAATATTCTATAAAAAATGTGAAATAATATTAAGCCGGGAAGATAGTTATGCAGCGCAACACACGCATAAGGTGATGAATATTTTATTCAAACAATTGTTGCAAATAACTGGAATACATTTTTTTAAAAGTAGAATTGTATAAACATTTGTGTAAAAAAAACTAACACTTTATCTTTATTTTTATAAATGATATTCATTTGTTAATTAATTTTTATAAATATTTATTTATAAAACGTTAATTTATCCAAAATATTTCATATTGGACTCGTTGGATGCGGATTTTGTAGTGCTTTACAGTAGTAACTTCAGAATTGCGTTAACTTTATTTTGTTGTAAAATATTTCAATTTTTATTAATTTTTATTAATTAATTAATTAATAATTCGAAAACAAAAAAAAACGTCATTTTTTTCGTTTTAGTTATTGAAAGTACACATCTTAAGCTTTCTTTTGGTACAAAAAAAAAGAAAAAAAGGGTCCTTCTTGAAAAAAAAACCAAAAAAATTTTTAATTTTTAAAAAAAAGGGTTAAATTTTGAAAATTTAAAAAAAAAATTTTCACTATTTGAAAGAGCGTGAAAAAACCTACCAAAAACATATAGGTCAAAATTTTTTTTGCTTTATTATATAGAAGCTACGATTTTTTAGAAAACTCACTGTTCATACTTATCCAAAATCTTCAACCCCCTCCCCCCTCTACAATTTGTTATAAAATTTCATAATACTTGGTGGTTGAAGAACTCATACATAGTACTAAATACTGTGAAAATATTAGCCCGATACAACAACTTGCAATTTTGACATTGGTACACTTGAGAAATTTTGCCCCATAATAAAAATCCACTGCAGTTGTAGGCGATAATCTATTAATAAAATAATTTGTAAGTTTTCAAAATTTCCATTAATATTTTTTTATTTTTATTGCAATCAGTAATTTTTGAAAACATCGAAATAAATAAAATCTTATAATGAGTAAAAATTTCCGCCCAACAAATAATTTTACATTTTATTTTCAATAGGGGAGGGTAGGCTACATTGAACCGGGTATTTTATAAAGTCCAAGAACTAATAAAATTTTACTAATTTCGATCAGGTTTTTGTATCAAAATTAAGCTGAAGTACTCCTTTAGTTAATACACACGTTACAAACACAAATTATTATGATTAAATAATTAAATTTAATTTTTTTCTAACAAGTCACACTTTTCTTATTTTGAAGGATGTGTGTCTACATTGAACCACCTCTAATAAAACACTACAATTTACTTCAAAAATAATATTTCCACTTACACATTGTAAAAAATCTTATTTT